AAAGAAAGATACACACAGAAAGACCCTAAGAGATAGAAAGGTCAAGAAAAGCAATTCCCACTTACTTCCCCTACCCTACTCCCCTACCTTCCTGCTCTCATAGCAACAGATAATTATGACTTTGGGGAAACAAACCTAAGATGGTAGGACTCAAACCAGAAGAGATGGGGCTTTGTGACAGGAGGCCCAGGAGGCACTCTGCCCTGCAATTCCTTTGGGAGGGGCAGCCTGCACAGTATCCCGGGACAGGTCACAGAGGACACAGCAGACGCCCTGCAGAGACCTGGAGGCAGTAGATGGGGAAAAGTCCAAGGTAACTGCAAAGCTACCTACTCAGCTCAGGTTCCTTCCCGATGGAAAGAGGGTGGACAGAAGTCAGCATCGCCTGGGAAATAGGTCAGCTGCAGCTGGGAAATATCCCTGAGCCTTCTGCTTCCTGGGGATTTTTGTATTTTAGTAGACAGTTTTAGGTAAATCCCAAAGCACGTAGATAAATGGTTGAAAACGTGATGGCTTTCTAACAGTTCACCTCACCATCTTGGGTGCTCTTTGTCTAAACAGGGATGACAGGAAGAAGGTTATTTTGAGATCTGCCCAGAGGAAGTTCACCAAGCAGCCCCAGGTAGCCAGTGGGCAGTGTTTTAAACTTGGACGTGTAACGTTCCATGTGTGGGTTGAAGTTTTTGTAAATTCGTAGAACAAGCAATCAGCAGAGTTTCAAAGAGCAGCGGCTTTGCAGACAGGTCCATCCTCAGCAGCCTCATGTAAGACATGACTTTGAAGTTTTGTTTCCTCTTTTGTGCAAAGCAAGGATGACAGTGCCTATCAAGGGGCTGGCATAAGGACCAAATGAGGTCAGGCACAGTGCCTGGGGCACACCACAGGGCTTGGCCTCCAGTCTCTCTGTCACTCCTGATGGGCAGAGTAGTTGCCTGGCAACCAGCTTCCTCTGCCCTCAGCCCACCACCCCTCCCTGGCCCACTCTAACCTCTGTTTTAGGATACCTGCTTTCCCCCCTTTTACCCCACTGCCTTTCATTATGGCCAGATTTTCCCATACGAGTAGGGTGTATTCTGGGTGGAGGTGGGGTGGGGACATTAATTCCTTGGAGAAGGCCCTGTTAAGGTAAAAGCAGTTCCTTGCTGGTGGCCTGCCCCTGCCATCTCACTTGGCCTGTTCTCTTTCCCAAGACATACCAGAGGTAGACAGCAACCTGGTGCAGAGTCTAGGCCAGCGCCTCTTGCCCTGGATGGACCAACTCTCTCTGGAGCACCTGAACCCCAGTATCTATGTGGGCCTGCGCCTCTCCAGCCTGGAGGCCAGTACCAAGGAGGCCCTCTACCTACACAGCCTCAAGCTCGATTACCAGCAGAGCCTCCTAAGGTATTGCCGTGCTCTCTCTTCTCTTTTCCCCATGTCTTGCTCCGCATCCTAAGAGACAGGAGACCTGCATTCTGGTTTGGGCCTGTCACTGCTTGGTTGGGAGACAGACAAGTCTCATCTCCCTTGGGCCTTTTTCCATCTGTTGAATGGAGTTGGCTTGACTAGACTGGAGAGGCCAATACAGGGTCCTTGTGCTGCTACTGTACCTTCCTGTCCCTGAGGCAGACATTCCTAATCCATGACCACACTCTGCCATACGGAGCTCAGAAGCAGCATCTGACTCTGTGCTCCCTTTCTAGGGGGATTAAGGGGAGGCCTGTTCTGAGGTCCAGTGTGGGAATTTAGATGAGAGATGAAGGATCAGGAGAACCATGGAGCATTTCCTTCTTGGACCCCCTCTCGAGAAGTGGATGCAGGGCAGGAACAAGAAAGAAAGGGAAGGGTACATGGATGACAGGTGACCAAAATGGCAACCACAGGCCATTTGAATGGGAGAAGCCTCAGAGTTTGTCCTTGAGTTTAATTTTTTTATTTTTATGAAATAGGTGTGGCATACACCTCACAATTTAGATGGCTGACTAGATCTGGTTTTGGGAGGTTCCAGCAAATTTTCCAACTACTAGGATTTTTTCCACTTTGTAATGTTGGAGGGGGTGCCCCAAGCCAGGCTTGCCTGGGTGGCCTTTTCTCCTGGAAGTATTGTTAACTGGCTTTGTCCTAGGCTTGGCTCCAGTGATGACAACAGTGACCTCCAGGCCAAGCCCTCCATGGGCCAGCTGGCTCTCTACATGCTCGCTCTCAGGGCCAATTGTGAATTTGTCGGAGGCCACAAGGGGGACAGGCTGGTCTCACAGTTGAAGCGGTTCCTGGAGGATGAGAAGAGGTCCATTGGTGAGGAGATGCAGTCTGCCTGGGGTGGGGAGGGCTCATCAGAACTTTGGGTTTTGTCCCTAGGCCTCCTATCTCACTATCTACTTCAAGGCTTGGGCCTGCCCGGTAGCCATCCTTGATCAAGCCTTTCCTACACTCCACTCAGTTGGCAAGTTTTGCTGCTCAGCCACCAAGATTGACATGACTATCCAGCTCTGGATAGCCTTTTTATTACTTACTCTTCACCCCCTCTCTGCTAACTTTCTTGCCTCCTGACTTGAACCAGCACACACAGAGCAAGCATTTTAAATATAAACCTGATCTCATTTAGCGCTGCTTAAGCCCTGCAGGGGCTGCTCACTGCTGTGTTCACAGCCCACAGGCCCAGCCTGTCTGCCGCTCTCTGCTCTCCAGGCTCTTCCCGCCCTTTCTCTGGCTCACCCACTCACCCGCCCCTCCAAGGGCTCCAGGCACATTGGCCTTCTCTTAGCTCCCAAACCAGGGTTTCCATATATGTTTCCTGTATCTGGAAGGTTTCCCTCACCTCTAGCTCTCTCCCACCTCACTTCCCCAGCATCATTTCCTTGTAGACTTCTGTCCTGACTCCCCAGATACTCAAAGACCGGTGTTCTACCACCCCATGGACCTCCATCCACATTTCAGTTCTAATCGTGCTCCCTTGAGTGTGGATTGTATTATTGTTGGAGGCCCCAGCTGCACGGTGACTGGCCTGTTGTCACTGTATTCATACCTCTAAGCACAGCGCCTGACACTTAGCAGGGCCTCAGCAAGTAAGGGTCGAGGGAATGAAGGATCCCATAACCCAAAGGAGGGTGTCAGAAAGTATAGGTCAGAGGGTCCTGTGTGCTGGTGGGGCTGGTTGCTGGGAAGGGGCAGAGAGGCAACCCTTCAGACCTGGAGTGACACCCTTGCCCCTTGGTTTTCTCCCTCTCAGGGCATGATCACAAGGGCCATCCCCACACCAGCTACTACCAGTATGGCCTGAGCATCCTGGCCCTGTGTGTCCACCAGAAGCGGGTCCATGACAGCGTGATTGGCAAGCTCCTGTATGCCGTGGAACATGACCACCATCTCCACGAGGGCCACCTCTCTGTGGGTGAGTGAGTCAGACCCTGCGAGGCCAGGCTCCACCCCTGGCCCCATGCTCACCTCTCCTTGGGACCCCTCCTTATCAAGTCCATTAGCAGCAAAGTGGTGAGGGTTTGTGTGTGGTACAGCGGCTGTGACCAGCATTGGGGATGGACCAGGATCCTGACCCCAGCTCCATGGCACATGCTCATTGTAGGACATCCTGGACAAGTCAGCTGGCCTTTCTAGTTCAGTTTCTCCTATAAAATAACCTCCCAGCAGCATCTCGATAAGGCATGCCTTATAAGTAAAGGGCTTAGCACAATGCCTGGCTAAGAGACTTCCCAGGACACTGGACACTTTCCTAAACTGGGAAAGTCCTGGGCAAACTGAGCTGAGTTGGTTTCCTAGCTCGTGGAAACTTTCTAAAATGCAGACCTGACCATGTTGACCCCCTTCTTCAAGCCCTCCTGTGGCCACCCATTGCCCCTCTGCCCTGCCTGGGCTGACCCCAGTTGGCTCTGTCCCCCGCAGACACAGTGGCCATGGCAGGTTTGGCCTTCACCTGTCTGGAGCGCTCCAACCTCAACCCCAACCTGAGAAACCGGATCAACCTGGCCATCAGGACAGTGCAAGAGAAGATCCTGAGGGCCCAGACCCCAGAGGGTCACTTTGGGAATGTCTACAGCACCCCTCTGGCACTGCAGGTGGGAAAGACACTCTGGGACTGTGGTCCATCCTGGAGGCTGGTGGGAGGTGGGCTAGTCAGGGGCTGGAAGACCTGGTTTCTCCCTGCTTACTGACCCACCGCCGTCTCTCCCCTACTCTGTCACCAGTTGCTGATGACCTCCCCTGTGCCCGGGGTGGAGCTGGGCTCAGCGTGCCTCAATGCAAGGACTGCTCTGCTGGCCAGCCTGCGGGACGGGGCCTTCCAGAATGCCCTCATGATTTCCCAGCTACTGCCTGTCCTGAACCACAAGACCTATGTGGATCTCATCTCCCCAGACTGCCTGGCACCAAGAGGTAGCCGAGCCTTTCACGGGAGCTCAGCTATTTTCAATCTGCAGGACACTCATTGAAATTTGCATGGCCCAGTGAGGGGTAGTTGTTTGGTCCTGATTTGTTGAGTCAACAGGAGTTTGTGGGTGTGCGTGGGACACACTGGCAGCTAAGATGTGGTCACAGCTTCTAGAAGCTCACAGTGTAGGGAGGGAGACATCAAATGGAGAGCTCTGTGCAGGCCAGTAATCTCCAGCCCTTCTGCAATACCAAGTACAGAAATGTTTGAATGAATGAATGAATGAATGAATGAATGAATGAATGAGTGAATAGATAGGGAGTGACACATTTTGTTTAGCTCTTATACGTTATAATGAGTCCCAATTAGCAGCTTGAATCAGGGCTTCCCCCGGGAGAGGGACTTGAGTTGGTGAGTGGGATTTGCCAGCGGAGCAGACAGAAGGAAGGGCAGAGCGGAGCAGAGGCAACAAGGCACAGGGGTGTAAAGGCTGGAATTTGGGTGGAGGGTCTGGCTAAAGAAGGGGTCTGGGAGAGTGAGCTGGAGTGGCAAGCAGAAGAATGAAAAGGAAAGGAGGCCCCAGAGAGAACAGGGCAGTGATATGAGCAAATGCATATTCTAGAACGAGATAGGTGGGAGAGGGGGTACTGCAGGCAGAAAACCATTGAGGGGCCTGACCTTGGGTGGCTGGGGATGTGGGGGCTAAGGGATGAGAGTGGCCTGAGATGGTGGCCAGATTTTAGCTGAGCGGGTGGTGGTGGTGTTGACTGAGATGGAACCATATGGAAGGAGGAGGTCCTGATAGGTCACAGTGTCTTCAAGGGAAGAAAAGAAGACTAACACCCAGGCCCCCTGCCCTCACACTAGCTGACGCGTCCTCTCTCCCACATACAGTCATGTTGGAACCAGCTGCGGTGACCCCCGAACAGATTCAAGTCCCGGAGGTCATCCATGTCATGCTGAAGGTCCCCAGTGTCTGGCCACCGTACAGACACTACATCTCTGTCCCTGCTGGGTCGTCCTTGGAAGATGTCCTGAAGAAGGCCCAGGAGCTCGGAGGATTCATGTGAGACCCCCCACCTCCCAGCCCTCGCCCAACCAGATCCTACATCCTTGGACCAGGGCCATGCCTAAATAAGATGGGAGCACGTCCCGGGTTACCAGTGGGTTACCAATGGGGAATCTGGCCCAGAGAATTTGAGCGCCTTCCATCAGGTCACCCAGACCCTAGCTTCTCTCGGCACACTGGCTTCACCCTCTCTCACTGGACATTGGCATTTCATGTGTGATGCTGGCAGCTTCAGATTCTCACCCCTACAACATCAACCTTCAGAAAGGGGCCAGCTGCTGGGTTGATAATGTAATAGGCGCCCCTTCCTGCAGGCCACGGTCTTGGTCAACACAGAGGAGATGAAGTCCCCTGAATGGGCAGTGTCAGTGGGGCTGGACAGGGCCCAGGAAGGGTTTGGCTAGCACTGGCCCTGAGTTCCTAGTGTGAGTGAGCTCCATTTCTGCCCTTGGGTCGATGGGAGCAAAATTCACCCTTTCTCCCTCTTTGCTTGTCCCTTTTGGTAGGTATGGAACACAGGCCTCCCTGTCAGGCCCTTACCTGACCTCTGTGATGGGGAAAGAAGTAGGAGAACGTGAGTTCTGGCAGCTTATCCGAGCCCCAGACACCCCGCTGCAGCAAGGTGAGTCTGGTGGCCGGCCACCTCTAGATGTGTCCCCCACCCCAGCCCTGTCCCAGAAGTGAGGCTTTGTCAACTCACCCCAGCTTTCCCCCAAACCTTTCTGGGCCCCAGCCTGGGATAATCACTGATGCTCAAGGTTGCATAATTTACTTAACTGAATTCTTAAGAATTTTTAGGGAAGTCAGTGTGGCAACTCTAGGAAATCAGATAGGCAAAAAAAGAAGAACATTTAAATCACCTGTAATTTGCTACCCAGAAATAACTTCTTTTAACTTTTGGTGTATTTTCTTCCAGAGAGTTTTTAAATATGTAAGTCTGTCATTTCATAAAAAAATGGAGCCATACTCTATAGCAATGCTGTTCGATAGAAATAAAATGTGAGCCCCACATGTAATTCTAAATTTTCTAGTTGGTGAAACTAATATTAGTAACATATTCTTATTTAACCCAGTATATACAAAATATTGTCATTCTAAGATGAAATCAATGTGAAATTATTAATCACATATTTTGCATGCTTTTTTTTTTTACTAAGATATTTAAGTGCTCAGTGGCCATGTATGTGGTAAATTGCTAGCATATCAGATGGTGTAGTTCTATGTACTGTTTTCCAACTTTTTTCATTCTTAATATATTATAGATACCTTTCTATGTTGGTGTGTGTAGATCTTCCCATTTCTTTGTAATGGCCACATAGAATATGTTATCCACTAGGGCGCTTTAGGCTGCAAATAACAAAAAATGCAGTGCAAATTAGCTTCCACAATTTGACAGCCGTTGGCCCAAGTGACTGGAGTCCAGAAGGAGCGAGGACTTCAGGGCTGGTGTAACCTGGGCTCCAGCCCCCTTCCCTGGGACTCTGTCCCCCTCTCTTAGCTGGCTTCCTCTTCCAGAGAGATCCCTCTTTTTTAGGACTGAGGAAACTTGTCTGACTCCTCAGCAAACTTCTCGAAGTTGGAATGGGGGCACAGGTGCATTCCCGGGCCCACCCCTATTACTAGGAGATGGCCCAGGTTCTGCAACCACCATTGGCTGAAGAGAAGGGATCACCACATGACTTGCTTAGGCCATTCAGTGCCCGCCCCAGTGCTGGGTACTTCAAAAGGGGGCATGGATCAGGATGGGTGGACCTCTAAGTTGTCTCCAGTTTTACATCTTATGTCTCAAACTGTCATGAGCATCATTGTGCAACAGCCCAGTCACCAGACAGACTCTTAAAAGTCACCTGCCCCTGCTCCTGCTTCGTGGAACTTCTGCTCGGCACTTACCATGTACCAGTCATTGGGCCAAGTGCTCTATGGAAGGTGGGAACTTTCTGAGGGAGCCCCATGAGAAGCATTCTCTTTCTCTGCCTGGCTTCTGAACAAATTGATAAATAAAACAAAGGGGTGGCAGATGAAGACCCCAGATCTGGCCTCTGTTACTAATAGAGGCTGGACAGAAGATGTAGCCTAGGGGGAGAGCCCAGTGGGCTCAGCCATGAGGCAGATGTGGGTGGTTGTGTCCTCTGCCTCCCTCCCCCTTGGCCCTCCAGTCCAGTAGGATGGCCACCCCTGTGGGAAGAAGGAGGGCCCAGTTATTGATATCTTTACTACCCCATTTCAGAAATGGGGACACCAGCGCTCATAGAGTTTCATTAATTTGCCCAAAGTCATGCCAATAGTGACAGAGCTGGGGCTTGAACCCAGGTGTCATGCTGGAGCCTGGATTGTCTGCAGTGAGTGAAAGCTGGCTTCTAGGAGACTTTGCTTGTGGTCCTGGTTCTCCCTCCAGGCCACACTGAGCAAGTCCCTCTTCCTGGCAGCCCCTCAGGGACTATAAAGACAGTGACAGTCAGGTGTTGTCAGCGTCTCTGGTTCCTTTCACCCTGTGTTGGTTATCCAGTAGGTTGTCCCTAACACCCATCCTCTGGGGGCTGCCCCACTGCAAAATGAAGCTGTGGGCCTCAGGGACCCTAGGTCACAGGTGAGTTCAGAGTCTCCACACTGGCTCTGGACAGCCCCCAGTTTCCTACCACCAAACCCTGAGCAGATCTGACGGACCCTGACCTCAGAGCGGAGGCCCAGAAGATGAGATGGGGGGGTGGGACACTTTGCCCTGTTAACATCCCTGCTCAAACTGTTTCTGCAGGTATTGCTGACTACAGACCCAAGGATGGAGAAACCATTGAGCTGAGACTGGCTACCTGGTAGCCTCCCAGCTCACCTACTCCAGCTGCCTTGAACAATCTCTGTACCTCTACCCTCTGTCCAGATATCCTTGTAACAGGCACTTGCCTGACCCTGCCGCCACCTCATGCGCACTTGGAGCAATGTCCCCCTGCGGTGGCCTCTTGGCTGCAACCACCACTCTTAAGCCACTGCCCACCTGGGAGTAGGGAGCCAAGCACCTTCCCTGGGGTGTCTGCCTGGGTCTGGCCCAGCCTGGCCCTGGGGGCGTGTCATGAAGGCCACTCATAGTCTGAAGCAACTCAGACTCCTTAGCACAAGAAGGCTGCTGGCCGCTGCACTGTGAGCACCGCCTGCTCTGGGACTGGGGTCCTACAGGGAGCACCTGTGCAGCCCTGAGCCCAGCTCTCCAGTCCACTGGGAGGGCGGCAGCCTCAGAGCTAGCTGTGGCATAGCAGCTGGTGAGGGCCCTGCTCAAAGTCGATCTTCGAAATGATTAAAGTATTGATTATGCACATGCCCCAGCGTCCTGATGCCTCATGCTAGGGAGCAAGTGCAGGTGCCGTGAGCAGAGAAAGCGGAGATACCTCCAGGCAGGGAGCAGAGGAGGGTGGGTGCGTATTCTGGGTCCTGGGAAAATGATGCTGGCAGTGGCCACGTTGATTACTGTTTAGGGAGCATGTACTTGCTAAACACTTTCTTGCATAACTCTGCGGTCGTTGATAAGGAAACTGAGGCTCAAAGAGGGAAACTGACTCACCACAGTGTCAAGCATGGCTTAGGAGATAGACAGACCTGGCCTGCGGTGGCCTCTTGGCTGCTTCACTCAAACACTGAAAACTGGGGGCTTCAATGATTGTTATGATTACATGGAAAACACCAAGTTCAATCAGAGGCCCAAGACCCTGGAGGTTGGGCTCTCACCCCTGGCTTTCCCCCAGCACAGTCAGGACACCACCCCAGGCCTCGGCAGCCAGGGTGCAGGGACCCTGCCTTTCAGTGGGAAGGCCCTGGGCTGCCCTCTGGGAAGTGGGGTTCAGGCCAGGGAGACACCCTGCACACCCCACCAAGGTTAGGGACCCTCTGATTGGCAGCATGTCTGTCAGGCTTTACAGTGATACACATGGAGTCCTCGAAACCAAAGATTAAACAGGTGCCTCTTCCTAGGGTGCCAGTTTCAAATATGTAGGGTCTGGGCAGGTGGGGGAAGTAGGCAATTTAAAAATTCTTTTGTATTGAAACAAACATCAAAGTATCAGAAAGCCAAATGACAAAGCAGCCTCTCTTAAGGCGAGTTGTCTGTGCCCAGAACCCAGGATGCTTGTTCACTTGTCCTTCCTTTTTTTTTTTTTTAAATATATCTTTATTGATTTCAGACATCAATGATGAGAGTCATTGATCAGCTGCCTCCTGCATGCCCCCGACTGGGGATTGAGCCCGCAACCCAGGCATGTGCCCAGATGGGGAATTGAACCTCGATCTCCTGGATCCTAGGTCAGGGATCAACTGCTGAGCCACGCCCAGCTGGGCCACTTGTCCTTCCTTATCACTGCCTGGTGTACATCCAGGAGGATCCAGGACCTGCCCTGTGACTCTTCCCTTTACAGCCCCGTCGCAGGAGAGTAAAGACTCAGAGAGGTGTGCAGGTTGCCTCAGGTCACACAGTCTGGAAGTAGCAGAGCCCAGACCCTCATCCATCGACTCCAGCCCTCAAGACTTTCCACTACACCCCCCTGCCGCCTCCCCACTCCTTGAGACACCAACTGAGAAAGCCACAGACCCCTCCCATACTTGATTCCTTTCTGTCACTGAGCTCTCTGTGGCACCCAGCTCAAGGAGTAAACTGCAGAGCAGATGGGATGGAGCCCTCTGTCCCTGGCAGCCAGTGGTGGTATCTTTCTGCACCCTGGCCCTTCTGGACTCCCATCTGGGATCATCTGGTGGGTCACCTGCTTTGGGTTCTGTCCTCAGCCCCCCCCCCCTCCACCCCCAAGTGTGCAGCTCTTTCCATCCCATCAAGGCACCCATGCCTCGTCTTGGTTAACCTTCATTCTTCATAGCCCACCCCTCTCCAGGCAGAGCAGGGGCAAGCCACTTGTGGCAATCTCAGAGCAGATGTAGACAGATTTTTCACTGCCCACCACTCCTCACCAGTTCAGCTCTGAGAAGGTCTATTTTTTAAAAAAAATTTTATTACAGTTTTTTATTAAAGGAAACTTACTGGAAAACTGACAATCCCACAAAGAATATAACCCTTAAGGGACCCTGATTCCTCCTATTCAGAAAATGGGGGGAGGGGCATGCTCCCTGGACTGGCTCAGTTTCCCTCCTACAACCCCTTCTGAGAAACCCTGTCTAAATACTCCCATATTTTTGTCCTTGGCCTGGCAATCCCCTGCCCCACAGTGTGGGATACTCAGCAGTGATTTGCAGGCTCCGGCGGGCGTCAGAATCACCAGACACAAATGTAAAAATGCAAATTCCTGAACCCCTATCATAGAGCGTCTGATTGCAGGCACTTCTAGTGAGGCTGGGGCTTTTACATCCAGATCCAAGAATTGTTAAGGGCGCTGGGCACACTTGCAGTCATTCTGGGGTCTGACCACCAGAGGGCGCCGCGGACCGGGCTAATTAGCCGCCCTGGGAGGCCTTGTGGCTCCGTACAGGTTGCTGTCATCACACAGGCTAGGGATGAGCTGTGTCCAGTGGGGACGCAGAGAAAGAAGCCCCACGTCAGGAAAGATGCTGGCAGCCGGCACTGGGCACCTGGCTAGGCTCTCAGAGAGGCCAGCGCCGAGCCTGGCATCAGATCAGCCTGTCTCGCCCTTGAGCATCCCGCGTCCAGATGGGAACGCTGAGCCCCAGGAAGGGGCCAGGGCTTAGTGGCAGCTGCTCGGCCACACAGCCAGCCCAGGGCTCTTTGTCCCGCTAGGGCTGGGGCCAGAGGGTGGACCCCAGGAATTCCAGTTATGAGTCAGCCCTGAGTGCCCAGGAGATGGAACAGGGCAGGCCAGGGGTGGATGCTGGCCAGCGGTACCCGGCTTCCGCAGCTGCGGTGGCCGCGGTGATTCAGCGGCCACTGCCTGCCCAGAGGGGCCCGCCCTGGGACT